TTAAACAAACATTATGTAATAACTAAATCTGCCTATTGCAGGTTTTTCTTTAGGCCTGAAATGTTATCTAAACTATTAATTAGACATTTATTAACATGACAAGGCAATAATCAGCTCTCGATGCCATCTGATGGGTCCGATTTTAAACAGATTTTAATCCAATCGGCGTTTCAACGACAGTTGATAATTAACTGTAAAAATGGATAATCAAGACTTTGTTTATTATCGTAACAATGGTAGTAATGACAATCAAGGCTACACTGTTCTTGTAGCGGCGATAACTCGGCTCTTAGTTAGTGAAGTAATTTGACTGAAATTTTCAGCATATTCCCTCATTATCTATTTTTTTTAACTATTATAATGAGAACTGTCAGCTCTTTATCTAACCTTACCATGTGCCACTTTAAGCTGTGAAGAATTAAATAATGTCTGAAAAATGCAAATGATGATCCGTGACGTTTACTCTATTGTTTTTATTTGTAAAGACAATCTGATTAAAAATACAGATCTATATTTCGTTTAGTTTTTTTATACTTTCGATGGCCTACACTACATGAAGATCTGTCCAGTTGTGGTGGAAGGTCACGTCAGGGGTCTTACAAGCAGCTTTTGACCTTATGACGTCAGACATTGATTAAACAATTAGCGTTGATGTTTCTAATGGATTGCCCACAGTTCCGTGCACCTCACGCCAAAAACTCGCCTTAACAGACCGTTCCATTGCTTCATCCCTCAGATCACACAGAATGCAAGTTATAATATATAACAACTCTTCCAGATCCTAGTGTAGTAAAGACAAGTAAAACGAAATTTTGAACTATAAAAAAACGAAACAAATTAGGATTTGAACTTTTTGGGGCTGATATTCTTTTTTAAAGTCAGTGATTTCCAATATGGTCAAAGTAGAATCTTCTAAAAGCATGAAGATTGTTTACCATCATTGATGATTTAGTTTTGTTTTCTAACTTAGATATTAAATAACCGTTTTGAGTACATTTTTGCATGGATTTATGTCAGAAACATTAAAAATGATAAATAGCTACTTTAAGAAAATAAGTATTTGCAACATGATAGAACTCCATTATTGCCATAATTTAATGAATAAATTTTGCCGGAAATAAAACATTATCTATTTTTGGTCATATGACCAAGTCTATAGGAAGATATTTTTGGTAAATAAAACATTATCTATCTATGTTTTGTTTTAAAATGACATGAAGTACCAAGTCTATCGGAATTTATATTTGGTAAATAAAACATTATTTATTTTTGATCATATGACCAAATCTATCGGAAGTTATTTTTGGTAAATAAAGAAAGGAATTTAAACTAATGTAACTATGATCAATAGTTTAAAGCTGATATTTAACGTTAATAAAGGGGGTTAAGTGAGGGTTATTACGCGAGGTATTATTTCTACATCGGGTACAAAGAGATCAACTTAACAATCATCGCCATAAATACCAATCACATCTCCAACTCGCAAACCCAAATAAATCAAATTAATATCTATTTTTATTATCGCGAGGAACTCCACATTAAAACAATATATCTGACCCAATGATAATTTATACTATTCTCCAGTAAGCCGAGCAAAATACATGGATTAATCTAATGGTTCTATCATCTTACAGCGGTCTGAAAAAGGGATTTTTACTGCTCTTATTTCTAATAATGTGAAGATTACCATCAGTAGAGGAATATATATCATCCGTCTTGCAGTGGTTCCACGTAAATGACGAAATGGAATTTCACATGATGTATTACTGTCTTTATTCCCTCGAGCGATGGACGCAGGATGTCCTTTCAGCAAATGTAATAAATTTATGATCTGGAATGAAGACGTTGGGATCGGAGGATAAATTGTGTTGTTAAGAAAGTAATACGTTCACAAATCTTTTCAGCTAGTGATGAAAATAATATTACTGTGGCTGAAAGGTCGCGCGATAACGAGATAGAGAGATTTGCGGACAATCTTTGTCGATGGAATTGTTTTATCCCTCATTTTCCTTTGTTAGAAAAATTGTCATTTTACAATTTAGGAATCCAGAATTAATTTTTTAAAGACAGGGGTTGTTTTTTTGTTTTTTCCACATTTTGTATTATCGCTGAAATGATTTTTTTTTTTCATATCAAAACAATTCTCCCTAAAAAAAAAACCCATGAAAATGAAACTCTTTTTAATAAACCTCTATAAAGAGAATATCGCTCTACTACTTTAAAAATATCGTAATGTGAGGGTGAGGGGAGTATTTTTTTGATCAGAAACTCCGAATAACATTCTGCACACAGAGATTCATCTACTTCATACTTCGAGAATAGATCTCTGTCCTAAATGGCTGCCATATCCAAAATTTAGTATATTGCGGTTTTTACTCCATTTCACATCTGTCTTAGACACAAAGACTAAATAAACTTTTTCCAATTCCATTAAATGGAAGCAGAATAAATACTTCCCCAAATTCTCGAAGTATACTTAGTGCTTTTGCCTAAAATCATTGATTTAGGACTTAAAATGTTGGTCAATTAGCTTAGTGTCTGTTCTCAAGCGGACAGCCCAAGTTTAGTATGCCCCAATAACTGACTTTCAGTTTAATGAGTATATTTAACATCCCCCGCCCCCCCCACCCCCCCGGTAAAAAAAATTCCATGTATCCCACAATTATATCAGATATTAAACATACATTATACAAGAGCTAAATCTGCATATTGCAGAGCCTTTCTTTTGGCCTGAAATATTATATAAGTTATTAATAAAACATTTATTAACATGAAAAGACCATAATCAACTCTCGATGTCATCGGATACCAGTATTCAAGATTTTAATTAGATTAGATTTAGAACGGTTCTCCATTTAGAAATTTAATTTAAAAATGGGAAAGCGAGGCACACTTCTTGTCAAAACTACAAACATTGATAACTTGGCTAAGAGTGAAGTAATTTGAATGAAACTTTCAATATTTTCATTTTACATTATTTATTTTTGAGCTATTATAGCAAGAATGGTCAGCTCTTTATCTAAATCTTACATGTACATAATGTGTCTTTAAGTAATTTAACAGTATTGTCTCCCACTGTCAAAAGCGGGGTTGGATGGCCGAATGGTTAGCACGTGCGCACTATCATATGGCCTGTTATTGAGTCAACTGGCATGGTTTCAAATCCCCGGTGGTACGTGAAAAGGAATAGGGTCGTCTGTCCAACCTCGTGGGTTTTCTCCGGGTCCTTCGGTTTCCTCCCACTGCTAAAGACCCCTACGCACAAACGAATTATTGAAATAAAAAATTAAACCACATGTTAGTCCTGAAATGACCTAGTTTGTGTTAGTGGACATTAAATCCCATCTCTCTCTCTCTCTCTCAAATTATCAACAGTAGATAATCTTGGATTTAATTAGATTTGAAAAGGACAATCAAAATATTTTACCCAAAACTAGGTGATGCTTGATTCTGATATCGTCTACAGAGGATGTCAGATGTCGAAAGTTTCAATTCATCACATCTACGCCTCCCTGAACCCCTCGTGTATCGCTGAGATCCCAGTTTAGATGTCCTCCTGTTACTAGCCTCCAGCTACATCGGACCTACTGTACGAGAGTTGTTGTCGTCTTCCACCGCTGTAATTATTAAACTGAATTAAACCATTTTGGGGGGCTGATTTACCTTTTAGATATTGTTTTATTGGGTTCTCTGGTATTAAAGCCACTGATAGTTAACATTCAATTAAAGGGCCATTATGTAACATCCAGATAAAAAGAGAGAGAGATATGAAGTTCAACGTCCACTCGACACAAACTAGGTCATTTCAGGACTAACTTATGGTTCAATTTCATTTCAATAATTCCCTTGCGCGTAGGGGTCTTTAGCAGTGGGAGGAAACTGGTGGCCTTGATCCAGATAAAAAGCTGGCCGTTCTCAATATTATTTAATATTTTATAAATAGATAATGCAAAATGAATATATTGGAAATTTCATTCAAATTATTTAATTTTAAGCAAAGTTATCAATGGCTATTTAAAATCAGTGGCATCAGATGGCATTGTGAGTTAATTATGGTCTTGTCATGTTAATAAATGTCTAATTAATAATTTAGATAACATTTAAGGCCTAATAAAGACCTGTGACGGGTAGATTTAGCTCTTGCATAATGTATGTTTAAGAAAGCTTAATTAAAACAGATAATCTCCCAGTTGACTTCAATAGACAATAGGATTAAAGAAGACAGTCACAAATTTGATCTCCTAAAGAAAGTATTTAATATTAATTCAGTCAAATCAACTCGTATTTAAAAATAAATAACGGAACTGTATTATTTGAAAGATTCCTAAACAATTTTTATTAAAATCTGAAAATGCGTAAAAAAAATACAAAAAGTAAAGATTTAATTTGAATCAATTATCAATTTAGTGAAATCAACTCGTATTAAAAAAATAAATAAAGGAACTTATTATTTAAAAAAAAAAAAAATTTAAATCTGAAAGTGCGTCAAAAATTTGAAAGATTCCTTTTTTTTTTTTTTTCTTTTCTTTTTTTCAAATTTGAAAGTGTGTCAAAAATGTCATAAAATGAAAAATTTAAATTAAATCAATTATTCGTGAAGCATTTGAATAATGGCTGAGAATGTTCGAATAGTAGAATCAGTAGTCAATGTGACGATGGTACAGTATTGATGGAAGCGGGTTGATTTGACGTGTAATATGTCATATAATGTTTATTCTCTAAACCTATTATGGTTTGACGTCCCCTCAGCCATCCACTAAATAATCTGTGTCGCCTTAAATTAACTGGAATTATTTGTCCTTGATTATCGTTACTTGCCCTTTCACACCTCGGACCAATTTACATTTTATTATATCTGTGATCCTGGCAAGCGTCAGGACAGTTATTGACGGGCAGATGAGAGCAATATTGGAGCATAATTCCCTCGATGCCAAACGTTAGTTTTCAATGTTAAAATGACCAATGAAAGATTAATGAAGATAATTATTTTCTCCCTTCAGAGACCGAAGAGTGCCAATCTGAGGGCAAGTAGAGTTGTCACCCCTGTCAGTTTCGAGGCGAGTGAAGAGCAGATAATGTCAGAATTAATCGGCAGCTATAGAGACGAAGGGACAGACATGAAATCGGTATGATTATTGACTTAGGTTCGTGGACGTGACGACTTGTCTTGTTGTCATAGTTTTCGTTATTTTGATCTTGTCTAGATTCTATTGGTAGATTAGGTTAACCAGAGCTATTTAAACCATTGACATGTGTGTGGAGATGGAGAGCGTTTAATCTATTGATGTCCAGCATTAAAAACAGACATGAGAGGTCAACGAATAAAATAATCTTGTACATGTATAGCATAATACATATGTATGTTTGTATCTCGTGATGTACATCACTGTATTTCATACTGGTTCAGGGGTATGGGTCGAGGGGGGGGGGGGTACTGAGCTCTCATGATATACATCACTGTATTTCACACTGTTTTGGGGGTCGGGGAGGGGGGGGGGTACTGAGCTCTCATGATGTGAGGATAAATTCAGAGGGTTGGGGGTACTGGGTAGTGACTTTGACGGGGGTGGGTGGGAAACTTGAGATATAATATCTTCCCTCCAAGTATTACTTTTTTTTTAATAGACACTATAGGAGAACTGCACAACAAGACATAGGCAAGACAAACCATGCAATAACAATATGGCATCAGGGTTGTACGAAGTCCCTTAGAGAGGTCCTAAGCATTCAAGAGATTTTGGTGGCACCATATATATGTAATTAAAAACTCTATGGTATACTCCTCTTTCCCTTGATGCCCCAAGCACCTGCAAATTTTGTACCATGTATATACTATATAGATATAGGTTATGTCCCATGTATATACTATAGATAAAGGTTATATACTATATAGATATAGGTTATGTACCATGTACATGTATATAGATATAGGTTATGTACCATGTACATGTATATACTATAGAGATATAGGTTATGTAACATGTACATGTATATTCTATATAGATATAGGTTATGTAACATGTATAGGTTATGTACCATGCAGAGAGATAGGTTATGTACCAGCCTAAACATAAGACAAATGTCACAGACTATGAGAGACAAATTAATACAAAATTTGTGACTGGTGCCGTATGTCCAAGCTTGGTCATGTGTTTATTCTGCTTACTAGTCAATCGAGGAGATACATACAGTATTCGTCCGGGAGAAGTTTAAGAAAGGCATCTTTGATCCAAACATTTCTGCCACGGTCCCATGATAATTAATGATCTGGGGCCTGTTTCACGAAATTTTAACTAAGATAAAATCCAAATTTTAGTAATTTGATTGGATAATATTAGATTGATTTTAGTCCTTAGCCAAATCTACTAAAATTTGGAATTTTTCTTTAGTTAAGATTTTGTGAAACCAGCCCCTGCATGCCATGTCTGGAGATGTAGAAATATGTTAATTGATGTCATGAATGAACAATGATGGCATAGAATCAAATTAGAGAAATTAATGAACAAAACACTAGTCAGATTTTGATTATCTGTCGTTTATTGTAAGTAAAGAACAAAAAAAGTCCAACAAGAGTGTGAGTGGGTAATATCATTTATGCAAATGTGTTTTTGCTTTTGTTTGTTTTTTTAATTTAATTAGATATTCAGAAAAGATTTTGGAAAATATATGATCTTGAATTTTCATTGTTGTAGAATTGTTCAAATATGTTTTATATTAATAGTAAGTGCAGGAGGACCGCACTACACGTAAAACAAAAATCTACAAGATAAACCTGCGGACAAGACAGAAAATAGACATTGCACTAATAAACAAATATCAAATCAAGTGAATGGATCCGGGGGCCAGCCGTAAGCGTCCACTGCGCTGTACATTTCACAGTTACTGAATTTTAGGTATTTTGACAGTTACCTTGCACAAAATGTCAGGAAATAGACCATATTCTATCCATAAAACGATCAATAGTGATTTATACTGAAGGGGGAAGGTGGTAGCATTTATAAACCATGTATTTTGTATATATTTTATTAAAGATACAAAATACATAGTTAACAACTAGAGATTGTAAAGGGAATTTGCAGAAAATTTCAGTCAAATTGATCCACTCTGAACCAAGAATTTAGAGACTGAATTTTGGGCCTAGCCTCTATCTTCATTACTAAAGTTGGTACGATGAAAAGCATAGTCTCAATTATCCATTTTTAGATCTAATCACGTTTGAGTGTTGAGCAGCAGATCGGATTTAATCCAGTAAATATCGCAGGCTAGCGATGACATCAAGAGTTGATTATGGTCTGGATATGTTAATCAATGTCTAATTAATAATTTAGATAAGTTAATTAATGTCTAATTAATAATTTATATAAAGAAAGACCTGCAATTGGCAGATTTATCTCTTGTATAATGTATGTTTAAGCTTTAAGATTTTATACAATAAGAACCTGTCTGTGAAGATGTTGTGGTTTATTTACATGTATAAAACTGTTTATACTCTAATGAAATGTTTTTTTTGTTGATTGATTGTATGTTTATAATTTATATATATACACACAATAAAAGATTTTTTTTGTTGTTAAATATATTATTTAGAATATGTATGGTTTTTTTTTGGTTTTTTTTGGGGGGGGGGGGTATGGAAATTTTGTAATAATTTGTGTCTATTGAACTGTAATATCAAAAATCAACAATCATTGAAATAGGGAGTAAAATTAAACTTGATTGTAATCTAGGGATTTTCCCTTTCTATATATAGGAACAGTATTTATAGCAGTGGGTTCATTGTGCCAAATTGACAAAACAGCCAAATGCCCAAAATAGGAATATGAATATTATGTGGTTTGCAGTTTGATTGTGTTCATGTATCAAGGGGGACCAGAGTGCCAATATTTTGACCACAGAGATTTGAGTGAAATAGATTTATATATAACGACCATTTCCACTGATATGTCCGACAAAGGTCAGAAGTTCACTAAGTGCTAATTAAGAGCTAACAATTGTTTGGGAGGTCCTGCTGGGGACAACCCGAGTGTTCTAGAGCTAACCATTGGTCGAGAGGTCCTACTGGGGATACCCTGAGTGTTCTGGAGCTGACAATTGGTCGAGAGGTACTACTGGGGGTACCCTGAGTGCTCTGGAGCTGACCATTGGTCGAGAGGTCCTACTGGGGATACCCGGAGTGTTCTGGAGCTGACCATTGGTCGAGAGGTCCTAATGGGGGTACCCCGAGTGTTCTGGAGCTGACTGTTGGTCGAGAGGTCCTACATTCGTGGGGTTACATCCATGGCACAATTTTTGTTAAATGGACATCGCATTAATTGCAGATATTGTTCTTCTTCTGTGATTTTTAAAGTCGTGGGTTTTCTACGGGTCCTCCGGTTCCTCCCACTGCCAAAGGTCCCTATGCGCAAGCAAATTAGTGAAATAAGATTGAACCATATGTTAGTTTGTGTTGGACGTTACCCTCTCTCTCTCTCTCTCTCTCTCTCTCTCTCTCTCTTTCTCAAACAGGCTAAACCCTTGACAGTTGTCATAACAATTTAATGAATATAAGTATACTAATCTTCAAGCCTGAAGGAAGGCGTTAAAATGCACTTGAAATACATCACCTATTCAAAGCAATTTTTGCAATCCAATATTTTAATTCCTATTATTTAGAATAAAAACCTCCATTAAATCAGTCTGGAAGAAAGTTCATAATTTTACACCCTGAAGTCACAACCATCCAGATATCAATTTTAAAAAAAAAAAATTCTGATTTTTTGTTTGTTTTTGTTTTGTTATATAAAATTAATTCTCAAAGTAAAATATTCTGCTGTCAAGTTTGAATTCAACTACAATGAATTTATTTCGAGACGCCATGAATCTTGAGTTTTTAAATACTAGCTTCCGTGTTCCCATGTCATTTATTTTTACGGTTTTATCGTGAGATTATGATGTAATAAAATAAGATGTAATAAACTTGGTTCGGAGGATTTATTGCCGCACGTCACCAAATATCACTTCGTATATCATGTTATGTCAACGCGGCACAAATTATGGGTAATTTTAGCTCGAATATCCCCTGCTATAATTATTATAATCTACGATTTTGTGAAGAAACGCCAACAAATTTCATGTTAATAGTGTAGTAAATATGTGGTCTTATTGTAAGCCTTGTCACACTAGTTCCTATTAAACGATATTTTTCGTATCAAAATATCTGATTTCTGGGTAATCTTTGGTCAAATATGGCTGTAAAGTATGGTATGCACACGAATTTCTAATAAATCGTTATGATTATAAGAATTAATGGCAGGCTGGTCTCGCCAGCAAAGCATTTATCATACAGTGTGTCGGTAAAGACACAGAGTTAAAATACACATAATTATGACGCTGACATTTCCACAAAGGGAAGGCCATATTTAAGATGATGAGAGTCACATGATATCGGTCTGTTTGTCGTTATTTCTCTGCGAATAAATCGTGAATTATTATGATATGACTCAGTAGTAAGATGGAGACGTCGTAATGAAAGTTTTAGAGTGGATTAAAGAGGCTTTATTCCGTGTCAATACTGACAAATTGCATTTAGAATATGGTCATTTTAGTCCAGAAGTTTTGGGCATGGCTTTTGTCATCATGGGTGTTAGGTGGTCGAGTGGACTAACGCATGCGCTTTAGATCATGGAATCTATCATCGATTCAAGTGTAGTGGGTTTGATCCTAAAGCGTACACTTCAGATCATGAAGTATGTTGTCGATTCATGTGTAGTGGGTTTGATCTCAGGTTTTTACATGACAAGAAAAAGGGTCGCCTGTCTAACCGACTAGATGGATTTTCTCTGGATCATAAAATGACAGGGGGGTTGGATGGCCAAATGGTTAGCACGTGCGTGCTGTATCATAAAGCCTGCCATTGAGTCAACTGGCGTGTTTTCGAATCCCTGGTTGTACGTGACAAGGAGTAGGGTCGCCTGTCCAGCCTCCTGGGTTTTCTCCGGGTCCTCCTGTTTCCTCCCACTGCTAAAGACCCCTACGCGCAAGCAAACTATTGAAATAAAATTAAACCATGTGTTAGTCCCAAAATGACCTAGTTTGTGTCGAGTGGACGTTAAACCCCATTTCTCTCTCTCTCTCTCTCTCCACCTCAGGTCCCCCTAACAAATATAATGTAATCTTTTTAGAACCAATTTAAAAAGTTTTCTTATGGGATTTTTGCGTCACAAAAGGGGAGAATAAGCTCTTGTGTGGAAAACTGATGACCGGGTCTTACGGTTGTAACATGCACTGCCAATTATGCACAGGGTTGGATGGCTGAATGGTTAGTGCATGCGCGTTACATCATAAGGTCTGTCATTGAGTCAAATGCTGTTGTTTTGATTTCCCGGTTGTATGTGACAAGGAGCAGGGTCACCTGTCTAACCTCA